TGTGTGTGTGTGTGATTGAGTTTTAGGCACTATTGACTAAGGAAGGATGTGAGTCCATTGTGGCACAACAATGAGAAGATCTTCCCTCCAGGAGCCCAATTTGACTCTCAATAGGTTTGAGGAACATCTGGGCTGAAGGGGCGACCGTGTATGGGTCCCCAGCAAGCTATTCCCTGCCAATTGCATTTAATGCGGGAATGCTGTCCAGGACAGGCTGGAATAAACATGAATGGAGCACAATTATACAGTTACCGCTCTCTTCTCCCTCCACTGTTCAGTAACAGACAATGATGAGAGCGTATGACAGCCCCACATCACAATAATAAAGAGCTTTGTTAGAGGCTTCCAGTCTCCTCTATGCTTACAGACAGTGCATGAATCACTACATTATAATGGACCATCGATTGTTCTTGGATGTGATGATACATACTGGCCTTACTATTTCACACACACACACACACACACACACACACACACACACACACAAGCTTTAAAATCCCATTCACATACACCGTTTTCAACCTGCTTTTTGTCATTTTAGGGTTTTTATTAAGACATGATTTGGAACATATATTAAGTGCAGATACTAGACTTCTGGGGGCCCGAAGCAAAACTTTGTTGGGGCCCCAAAATCCTCCCCAACCTCTTAATCTATTCTTTCAGAGCAGTTTCACTGTCAACAAACAACAGTGAGTTTTAAAAAGTCAGTCATACAAAAAAGGAAGAAAATTACAAACAATAGGGCAAATACAACAGAAAAAGAAATACAAATAGAGTTTAGCCTATAATAGCCTACTACACAGAAACTGATTAAAGTAATCAAATGTACAAATAAAGCACTGCATAGCACACACACACACACACACACACACACACACACACACATGCAAGCAGCATCACATCATTCCAATATGCGTAAACCCACTGGGGATGATGGGAAAAAGCACTACCCTTAACACAAATGCACACAAGCTGCCCTTCCATCCACACACACATGCAATCTCTTCTTTATTTGCAGCGCAGCTCTTAAAACACTCTTCCCCATCCCCTTATCTAAACATCACCCCTGTCCATCCCCAGCCCCTGCTGTTTTCACTCATCCGTCTCAGCAGACAAGCCATCCGCCTGCGTCCACTCCAGATCACGGACTCGCCTTGACTGCATGACCTCCCTCCACTTCTACACGTCTCTCCCGAGACCCGCACGCTCTTGGAGTAGCATTGCGCTCATTACTACTACAGGTGGAAGTCAGGAAAGAGAGAGACTAACTAGAGGCAGAGAGTAATGAGGGTTTTAGTTTAAGGGGTCACCGTCGATACACACAGCAGAGAAAGAGGGACAAACAACCCTTGTACGGGCTTGAATAGGGAACAACTTTACAATAATCCAGAGGACAGAAGGTGTTACTCAAGATGAGGCTTCACACTCGCCAATTGATTTCTATTCATTCGGCATAGAAGCGGTTCAGGGACGCATCACATTGGTTAGATGCATGCGCTAATTGTGCAACCGTGTCCGCAAAACCAAGAGCCAAGGCCAGAACATTTGCTTCGTGATGCCAGGGATGTAATACAATCATTAATTCATGTGATATGAGCTCCTGCAGGGGTTGATAGCGATGTCTTTCGAATTCCGTACAGGTATTTCTGATTGCTCTGTGCACATGTTGACATTATAGTGCATTTTTTAACTGGGAATTATGAGCGCGGTTCCAATGATCCAATTAATATGAATGGTTTATACCTGACATTTTAACATGAATGTAGCTTTACAGTTGCATAAAATGTCAAACTGCAGCTTGGATCTAGTCAAAAAGCTTTTACGCTCAAGGACAGCACTTATTTTGGAATAAAACACTATAAAAGTGAACATATGCAGCTGAAAATACATTTTTCTACCTGATTCGAGCCTTTAATTCTTACATTTGAGAACCAGCATTTTTATCCAGTTTCTTTGTGCTGAATCAAACAAGTTAATGTAGATGTTTCCCCACGAAGAACATTTTTACATTAATTGATCTCTCTTTAAAGAGTCTTGATTTCAAAAGTTGGTTTTCAACATTTCAGCTTAAACACTGGATGATCAGACTAGCAACAGCTTTGTGAATCCCTCATGGTAATGTGCTAAACCTTGTATGGGAATCTGTGTGTGTGTGTGTGTGTGTGTGATTGAGTTTTAGGCACTATTGACTAAGGAAGGATGTGAGTCCATTGTGGCACAACAATGAGAAGATCTTCCCTCCAGGAGCCCAATTTGACTCTCAATAGGTTTGAGGAACATCTGGGCTGAAGGGGCGACCGTGTATGGGTCCCCAGCAAGCTATTCCCTGCCAATTGCATTTAATGCGGGAATGCTGTCCAGGACAGGCTGGAATAAACATGAATGGAGCACAATTATACAGTTACCGCTCTCTTCTCCCTCCACTGTTCAGTAACAGACAATGATGAGAGCGTATGACAGCCCCACATCACAATAATAAAGAGCTTTGTTAGAGGCTTCCAGTCTCCTCTATGCTTACAGACAGTGCATGAATCACTACATTATAATGGACCATCGATTGTTCTTGGATGTGATGATACATACTGGCCTTACTATTTCACACACACACACACACACACACACACACACACACAAGCTTTAAAATCCCATTCACATACACCGTTTTCAACCTGCTTTTTGTCATTTTAGGGTTTTTATTAAGACATGATTTGGAACATATATTAAGTGCAGATACTAGACTTCTGGGGGCCCGAAGCAAAACTTTGTTGGGGCCCCAAAATCCTCCCCAACCTCTTAATCTATTCTTTCAGAGCAGTTTCACTGTCAACAAACAACAGTGAGTTTTAAAAAGTCAGTCATACAAAAAAGGAAGAAAATTACAAACAATAGGGCAAATACAACAGAAAAAGAAATACAAATAGAGTTTAGCCTATAATAGCCTACTACACAGAAACTGATTAAAGTAATCAAATGTACAAATAAAGCACTGCATAGACTTCACCATATACATTAAACATAAACTGATTCATAACAAAGTTATGAGCAATATTCAGTGAAGAGCAGTGAATAATTCTCTCCTTTTCTTTTGTTGTTTTATTAACAGATGATGACAGACAGCAGCAGGTTTATAGGATGCTGTCACAGAATGCACAGATCTAATATAATGACTAGCATTCGATCGATTAGGATACTTTTCAAACTGTTTATGTTCACTTAAGACATAACTGACTGCGTTTAGTGAAAACTCACCAAGACAAGCATTTTGACAGAAAGTGCAGAGTAGCCTATATGTGTCCGTGTTTCGAATCGCGCACACGGAAAGCACTTGGGAAACCACAGCTTGGTGTGTTTTTAACTCGTTTTTTAGTTTCGAGCAAAAACGGCATGGAGACTGTATACGACGTTACATGATAGAAAGTGCAACAATGCACCGCATTAAAGGAACATTCATGTTTCATTAGAAATACATTCAAGGATTAAATTAAATCATCTTTGAGAGATTTATGGTCTTTCGGGGGCCCTATGCAACATGCGTACTTTGCGTATAGGCAGGATCGGCTCTGCATATATTTACAATATATGATCCCTCGCAAAATCTAAAAAATTCACTCGAATAATCATTTACTCACAATCAGTCCAAACCTCTACAGATGATTGGTCCATGCAATAACAATGAATGGTGAATGAAGGTGTCAGGCATCCAAAAGAACACCAAAAAGTATCACAGAAGTTGTCCTTTCAGAGTCCTCTGAACAAAACAATAGCTTTATCTGACCAACGGGCCAGATTTTAAGTTTTAAAAAGTTCTTACATCCATCCTGGTGCACAAGTACAAGTACACAAGACAGCTAATCTACTGTATGTCTGGTCCGATTCTCCACTTACCAACTTGCTGTTAACAGATCAATAGAGTGGAAGATCACTGAATAACAACTTAAACTTCTATCTCTAGCCACAGAACTGCTACTGTAAATCTTAAGAATACTTAAGATATCATACCACTTTTAAAGCAACTTTACATCATACTTCAGATTTGACATCTTCAGTCACTATTTATTGTCAATGCATGGAAAACAGTGATTAAGACATTCTCCAAAAATGTCTCATTTCGTGTCCCACAGTAGAAAGTAAGCCTTGCTTAGAACAAGAAGGTGAGACAATAAAAACATTATTTTTTATTATTTTTAGGTTAACTGTCCCTTTGACCATTTTGAGCGCCCAGCCTATAAACACCAGTGTCCACTCCATGCTGTAATTACTGTAATCTCCAGTATGCAGTGCGCACTTACTTTATTATAGACGACCAGTCGCAAGAAAAGAACGAGGAAAACGCGCTCTGCTTGTCACAGCACCAACACATCTGCTGGTGGTCGAGCTCCAGCATGAGCGTGTGATTTTCAACATCACTCTCACGTATAATTTCAATAGCTCATCACATTTGTCACTTTATAGACATTCATTTTCAGTCAATATTCCCTCAGAGATAATCGTTTTATTGTCCTGTGAACGTGGCAGGAACGATGCAATTGCACTAAGAAAAAAGTGCTGATGTTGTGCTTCAAATATATAAATCCCATTGCACACACAATAAACAGTCAGCGTTATTCACTCACTCAATGTGGCACTTGAAGATTTTAGTGTTCTATGTGTTTGCACGTCGCGATATGTGTGCAATTAAAACCTGCACTGCGTTTGCGCCAAGTTGCATTCGCCAAAGTGACACATAACTGTGTCAGCAATGCCAATCCTCTTTTGTTAGGATTTTAAACTTATCGAAACAATACGGCAACAGTTGGAGCTCCGCCGACTGACTGACTGACTGACTTAATGACGGTATCAAATATCCTTTCCACCCCCAACGCTTTTACAATAAACGCATAAAAACACAAACACACAAATTATGTTACGTTGTGACGTCAATTTATAACAGAACTAAACACTGGAATAACAGAACACCGCAATAATTCAGTTGCATTTGTATTGGAGGCGTCAAACTTACCCTGGCGAGTTAGTGCGTAACAGCGCGTCCAAAAACGCATGCAAACGCACACAGCGCGCTTGGTCTTACAAAAGCACCATTTCAAAACGAGGCTAACAAATCCCACATTTTCCAAAGAAAGACTCAGCTCCTTGTGTTTTCTCCATGCTTTCTTTCTTGACGCCTAGGAGAGCGAGCGAGCGAGCGATGGTCGGTGTCGGTTTACGCAGCGGAACTCTCTCCGTCCACTCCCTTTGTAGTAGTTCTAGAGAGAGCGAGAGAGAGAGAGAGAGAGAGAGAGGGTGTAGCCTATTAAACCCGTCCAGATCCACTTCTTCAAAGCGATTCCCCTCCGTCTCAGCAACTCGAACCCCGCGCCCTGTTAAAGTGAAGCTCTGAGAGAGAGACAAAGGTGCTCCGCGTAGCTCCAGCTCGCCACACACACTGCGCCGGAGATATACTGCCTCCTGATGGGTATCTCTAAAGCGATGAGGCAGATCGGTGGCTCACAAGAGCAGTACAAACACAGGTCTCCGCCCCAAACTCCCCTGTCCTGTACGGGAACGGGGCCGGAACACAGGAATATCATCATAATCAGACGGAGTGAAGCATTTGTCATTCTCTAATGGACTTCTGTGCTGTAGCCTTCTGCGTTATTGTAATGAGTTTTTCTAACACTTTACAGTATTAAAGTGTATGACACATTATGCTGTTACCAGTCATAGATGCTGTTACATGTACAGTAAATGTAAAAAAAAAAAAAGGAAAGGTACGACTATTTTTGAAAGAAAGATACACTGTACATTTTTAAGTGAAAAATTATGTAAAAACGCTAGAGTAAAAAGTTGAGTTAATTGGTTGACTGTTACCTTACTATTAAATAGCCTACATTAAATTATATTAAATTTAACAGGGTAATACATTTAATTTTCCAATCAAATACTTAATCAAATCCATAATATCTTCAATAAGTAAAATAGTGTATCTGCATCACATAATAGTAATACATAACATTTTTGTTTCCTTTCTGTTATCAGTTGAAATACATGGTTTATATGTGAAACAAATGTTTTATGAAAAAATTAAAAAATTAATGAAACTGTTATGAACTGAAACATACAGGCAGTAAAATGCTGACAGACAGATGGATAGATACTACTACTACTACTACTAATAATTATATTAATAATATTATATTTCAATAATTTCTTTTCATTTTCACTATCAGTTAAAATATACAGTATATATAAAACAAATAGATAGACAGACAGACAGACAGACAGACAGACAGACAGACAGACAGACAGACAGACAGACAGAAAAATAGACAGACAGACAGACGACAGACAGACAGACAGACAGACAGACAGACAGACAGACAGACAGACAGGTAGATAGATAGATAGATAGATATGTCTGTGGTTATGATTAAAACAGTAGAGTTGAAGCAGCAGGAAGCAAAACAACAACCCTCAGATAATCCTGTATATTCTGATTTCAGTAGATTCAATGGATTACGGCCTTCTCTGCAAATTTAACACTTGAATGGATCTCTCTGTCTGCATCCTCAGCTTAAAACCCTCTATCACCTAATATATACTATTTAGAGATAAGCATCTTGCCATTGCCAAAGCCGAAGGATTAACCTAAATTAAAAGAAAAGGGTATTTCAAAGTATATCTAAACCTTTTTTGTGGCATCCCTTTTCTTCATATTTCTTTAGAAAAGCACATAATCGAATGGATAATGGACACCAGTCCACAACGGGACCCAGGAGACCACAAACCCTTCACATTATAACAAAAACAATCTCCATCATGCCAAGCTGCACGGTGAAACATGCAATTGCCACGCAAGGTTAATTTGACACAATAAGAAGGTTTCGATTTGCATTTCTGCACTGTGACAAAATTCAATCGATTATCAGCTGTGAACACTGAGTATTTACGGAGCTCACAAAAAGTGTATCAGTAGCAGAGCCCTATGATTACCACGATGTGGAAAACAAAGACGTAATCTCTGAATTTTGCACATTTTGGATATCAAAAGTAGGGCTGTACTTTTTATCAAATCGCAACATGGATTAATGCCTGTGAATATTAAAGCACAAAAAACTGCTATTGAAGCATGAAGTCTGCATGTTCTTAAAATGACTAATTGTTAATGTCTTATGTCTTCAGTTGATTGCCACCGAATCATAAATCCAGAAATATTAAAAGACAACACAGCATTTCTGAAAAATAAAACATTTCACAGGGCCCTGCTATTATAAAAATTGAAATAACATAAAGCATGGAATTTAGGAGAATTTGGGGGGAAAGATTGATAGGGTGCTACAAATGTAATCTAGTAATAAATTGCTATTAATTTGTTTACAATTCATGATTTAAATTTATTAGAAATTATTTTTGATCACTCAATTTTCATTTGAGACCGACATAAAAGTATAATTGTAATAAATATGATTTTTTTTAAAGATAGTATTTAATCTTGGCTGTGAGGTTGGGGGCAATAGTAACATTAAAATGTTTTAAATAAATTAAACATCAGACAAATTTTTGATCTCTAAAATGTAATTTAACCATTAAAACAAAGCAGAAAACACACACAATCCAGAAAAAAATCCTCTGATTGCTATAGTGCTGCACTATTACATAAGGTCTTTTATAAATATTATAATATTATATTTCTGCACGTATAGTCCAAGCTTTGGCAATATTGTATTTTATACAGTCATGCCAATAAAGCAATTTTGAATTTGAATTATAAAATGATTAAATAAATAGCATTTAGCATACTATAGAAAGAAACATCCTTGTTGCTTGCATCACCTCAAAGGATTTACAAACCTTGCCTGGTTTTATTTGTGAAGGTTCTGCCCTTGAAGGAAGGTTTATCAGGGGTTATTCTCAGTTCAGATTATGGTATGGAAGAGGGCGAGTCTTACTGATACATGCTGAATCTTGAGCAGATGCTGCCTTTTGAGTGAAACGCCTTTCAGCACTCCACTGAAACGCAGAATCACTTTTTGAGTGCGAGTCGACTTTGTCTCTATTCACAGTTCCTGCTTCAGCAAGCTCGTATTAGTCATGTGGAACAAGCACAGCTTGGAATATAGCACACAAAACTAAAAACTAGAAACTAGGCCAGGACAAAGAGGTAAGGTGTACACTCATTAGGATGGGGTCCAGAGGTACAACTACAGATGTATTACTACTGCGCAAATGCTCTAATTTAGGCCCAAACCAGTGTTGAAATCATGCACAGTCATGATAGTGAAAATACAGTATGACTGCACTAACAACGTTAACTCATTCTTTAGACGAATGCTTATAAATATGCATATGCAAAGTCAATAGATACAGCTCTATGAATCACTAAAGAACCTTGTGCTGCACTTTGTTCTAAATATTCTACATTAAAAACATTTACAGAAAAATAGATTTGTAGACACATTTAGGACTAATGCAGATTTTTTTGGGGGTCCAAAATATCATTTTACTATATACATCACATTACAATACATATCAGCTCAAAATAATGCAAGATTTCACCTTGGCTATAAAACTGGAGGCAACTGTAACATTAAAAATAAACTGTACGGCAATAGAAAATTAAAACTATTTAAATTTAATTTAAAATACATCATTAATTTTACTTAGACAATCAAGTGCTGTGTTCAATGCATCAGCTAAAAAATATTTAGTTTCAAATAACGTAGGTCCTACTTAGTCTTTTGACTTTAAAAACATATTATTCCTGACATCTAATAGAATAAGTACCATATAAATGCAAATACATGTTTTTTCTAATGAGGTATTCTCTTATGTGAGGTTAAGTGGCTTAATATCAGTTACTTTTGATACATATAATGTTTTAATACCAAGAGATGTCAAGTAGGTTTGTAGTAGTCTGTGAGTTATGAAAGAAAATGTAAAATAAATAAATACAAATAAAAATATAACAATGATAATAATAAAATGTAGAATAGCCCTTTAAAAACTTGTTCTGCACACCGGATTCTTGACAATGAGGCTTAGGCTTATTATCGGCTTATGAAAATGTAATAAATAAATACAATTTATGATGTGAACCTCATATTGTTTTTTTGGCCATAACATTAAAATGATTGAAATAACTGATTTATCATCTATTGACATCTACCAAAAATCCCATATGTGTCCCTGCAGCACAAAAGCATTGTTAAGTCGCTGCGGTATATTTGTAGCAATAGCCAACAATACATTGTATGGGTCAAAATTATAGATTTTTTTAGATATTAAGTAAAGATCATGTTCCATGAAGATATTTTGTAAATTTCCTACCGTCAATGTATCAAAACTTAATGTTTGATTAGTAATATGCATGGCTAAGAACTTCATTTGGACAACTTTAAAGATGATTTTCTCAATATTTAGATTTTTTTACACCCTCAGATTCCAGATTTTCAAATAGTTGTATCTCAGCCAAATATTGTCCTCTTATCCTAACAAACCATACATCAATGGAAAGCTTATTTATTCAACTTTCAGATGATGTATACGTCTCAATTTCACAAAATTGACCCTTATGACTGGTTTTGTGATCCAGGGTCACATATAATGCTAATCATAAATGCATCACCATCATGGGTGCACATTACCTTAAAGGCATATTTTTTACTTCAAGTCTTAACTTCATCCAAACATCTAAATAAATCTAGAGCGACTAGAGCATTTCCATAGCAGCCTGACTCCCAGGAGTGATGTGGACAGGCTAGCCGTGTCTGTCGTCTAACTCTATTTACCTGCAGCCCAACGAGAAACGCTGCCAGGTTCAGCTACAGTTCAGGGAGAGAGCCAACATGTGCCTCAGTTCTGGATGACAGGCCTGGAATTGACTTGCACTAGTGCACAGCAGGGAGATGAGAGCAGAGCTATTGCAAGCCTTGCTATGAGCTAATCTAGAGCAATTAAATGAAAACAATGAGAAAATAACACACAAGTCAGTTTCAATATATAGTTGCTCAGCGCTGCAGAATTAAATGGAAATAAGGAAATACAAGAAGACCAAGCACCACACACACACACACACACTGCAGGATATAAGAAAGTTAAATCCTATCGTGGCTTTAATACAGTGTGTTACCGTCGCTGAAGGCTTGCTGCAGATTTTTGGCGTCTTACTGATGCACAGACACACTTTCAAAGGGAATGAATGCTGATGAGAACTTGTTTTAGTCGTTGGGTTTAGGTAAACAGTGAGTATCTGGCACAGCATGTAGAGGCCTAATTAAGCCTCGCTTATTCACACAAGTCTGTGGCCAACGCTGAAATCACCAAGCCACTCATTTTGCATGCAAAGCATCTAAGACAGAGCGAGTTGCAAAGAGAATTTAGCTATCACATATCACATTGCATCATCTAAAAGTCGGGAGGTTTCACAGGATACGGATATCAGGACAGCTGCAGTAATTCCTTCTGCCTG